GAGAGCTAGAGGACAAGGTGTGTCTGGCTGCCAGGGACCGGCCATGCCAGTGAGTAATGAGGGAGCGCCTGGAAGTGCCCCCTTCACACAATTATAAAGCGTGAGTCTAATGCAGCCAGCGGAGCTGCGGCAGAGAGGCCCTCCATCACCGCTCTCCCCTTTCCTTACGCCCCAGGAAAAACTCTTTATCTTCCCTTGACAGCCACCGCAACAGACACCAGCGTCCAACAATTAAACTGGAGTTCATCCCTGGACAGAGGAGAGGAGAGGAGAGGAGAGGAGAGGAGAGGAGAGGAGAGGAGAGGAGAGGAGGGGAGAGGAAAGGAAAGCAAAGAAAATATAAGAAAGGAAAGGAGAGGAAATGAAAGGAAGGAAAGCAAAAGAGAGGAAAGGAAGGAAAGGAAAAGAAAGGAAAGTGAAGGGAGAAGTAGAGGAGAGGAGAGGAGAGGAGAAGACGGGAGTAGAGCAAAAAAAGGGGAGACAGCCAAATGCCACCTTCCATCTGGTTTGTGCCTTACTCAGCTCAGCCGTACAAAGGTTTAATGGTGACATCCTCCTGTGGTTATGCATTTGCCTCCAATGGCATGAAAACCACCGGTGTGTGTTTTCTCGAGCTAGGTTGATTGTGCAAATGTTTGAAATGGCTCGGATCATGAATTACGGAACTGAGCTTGAAGCAACCCAGACAAGTTTGGCAACAGTTTTCTTCTCCCATTCCCATCACTGTCTGCCGTTGCCAGACCAAAGGGCTCCGAATCCAGGATTAAAAGGCAAACATTTGCAGTCCTGCTGGACCGTGCTGTCGTGCAGTATTAATGTCACTCTCTCAGCACTTGTTGTTAGATATTTCTAAGCCGGAGGAGGCAGAACACAGACTATAAAAGAGAGGGGAGAAAACCCTTGAGTGTGCTAAAACCCCAAACTCCACAATGTGTTGGCTTGTTGAATATTTTACAGACAGCTTCCTGACCTGCAGACTTGCTTTCAAGTCAAAGCATATCACTGAATAAGTGAGGACTTTACATTGCATCACAGAATACGAAATTGGTTTTAATTCCCTCAGCTAGATTCAACACTTGCTTAGTAAGTAAGCACACCAGCTAACATAAATCGCTGCAATGTAATGTCTCTTGATCTGTGACTTTTTGTTTCTTCTGTGGGACTTAGGAAAGTTTTGGATAACAATTTATTGCTACAAATTTTACAGAAACAAATAGTGAAAAGCTTCTGCTCTGAGAACTAATCCCTGTAACATATAATCGTTCATTACTAGGGATAGCTGTTGACATACATTCATAAAGGTCACACAATACCAAAAGTTTCGGATACATAAGGCTCTGTCGGACGGAAGTAGTAGTTGCAATAAGGTTTTTAATTAAGCAAAGTTTTACACAATGTTAAAGTATTTTTCTACCGTGTGGTGTTTAACCCTTCAATAAAAGTGTTTGAATAGATTTGGACTGGATTTTTCTCTTGTCAAAGTACATTAGGGTATTAGGTCTGGGGTTTTCATTGTGAAAGCGATGCCTTGGTTTTTTTACCTTTTGGACATTTGACTCAATACTAAGTAATAAGGCCAATTTCGACTGATTATATATTTTTTATATTATTGATGATTTCATTTATTCATCACCATCACGTGAATTCGGATGATCCCCAACTACAACAGAGGCCACGCTTGTGAGTGTATCAGTGATGGGGAGAGGTTCACAGCCATCGGCAAGGGTGGACATTAGGGCGAATCCACTATTCAACCATCTGCTATTTGGAGGACGGTGGGCAAGGGCAAATGGCTCCATGATGACTCTGCTGGGCCAGTCGCGAGAGCCACTTAGACGACAAATGGCCACTTGGTCAAGAGGTAATTTAATTCAGGTAGCTAGGAGCTCGGTATATGACCATCCATTATCTGTGTCTGAGTGTGTGTCCATATGAGTTTGTTACTGTGTGTATTTACTCACACGATACCGTGGCACCGCATATTATATGCTGAAACGCTAAAGTGCGCATCAGTAACTGTGTGTGCACAGCAGTGCAACACAGGATCTAAACAACTGGAGACGTGATGGATGTAGTGCTCAGAGCCTGTCAGGCAGCGAAAGGGGTTAAACCAACCTGCCTAAGATGGAGTGGGTAGATGTGCACTTTAGCCCTTTTGGTGAGGGGGAGGTGAAGGGCATCGATGGGACACTGGGCTGCTCATTTTTCTCTTGGCGGCCCCCACAGTGACAGCAGCCATTAAACGGACTGGATGAGGTGATTATGTTTTAAGGAAATCAATGCTTCATTGTTCTCAGCTTAGCCCAACGGCCAATTAGGAGCTGTTAATGAGCTATGGTTGTAAAATGTGGAGAAAGATGGGGGAGAATTAGGCTCAGAATAAAAAGCAATACTTCATATTAGAATATTTTCTGCAGAGCAATGAGATATGAAAGACAAGGAAACATTTTAAGACAGTAGAAAGGAAAAAGTTGCTGTCGTTTTACACTTATATAAATGTATAATATTGGCTAGAATGTAACGTTCTTAAATAGGGGCTGGTTGTCTTATTCATTAACTATTCCTTTTGAATGTACCATTGTAACGCGGACTCCCCACAGAGTGTTATATTATGAGTTGTAGTCTAATGGGAAATCAATTTTGCAAGCCCATCACTTTTAACTCAGTTAATAGTGGGAGTTTTCGCGCAAGTCAGTGTTTCATTAGCCCCAGTTAACCCAGGAAAGTATCTGAAGGCTTTGTTTTGCTGCAAAAGAGGGAATTATTACATTGAAGCGTGGACACCAGTGTTTCAAGCCTACTGACCATGGAGGCAAAAGATCTGTAAATTGCAGATCACCATCAAGAGCTACAACCCATGATGAGCTGCATCCCACACAAGTCAAGGTCACAGCAATGAACCCATTAAAAGGTGTATCCGCCCGTAGACTTCACACTCGCAGGCATGAAAGTGACGTGTTTGTTTTCATCCTCTGCGTGACAAACAAACTATAACTACCTTTTGATCTCAGTGCAGCTGGCACATTTAGACAAAGAGATAAATGCAGGTGCTCGTGACAATGTCACTACAAAAAGACAAAACACTTTTTTCCGGTCTTGGCTCAGCTTCAGCGTCAACAACTATAATCTATGCAGAGTGGCCAAGAGCAGTAATCACTGGCTTGCCATCAACAAGCATTTTCTGTCACCTCCTCCAACACTCTTTAGCGCTCTCGCTCACACTGCTGCAGTTATTAAGTAATGACATATGGCCTGAGGGGAAGTATACACAGCAGCCGGGAAAACTTAAGCCTCTCAAGGACTCGTCATAACAACTTAATCAGTGCACACTCAGGTGAAAATGAGTGCTGAAAGTGCCTGTTTTGTTTTGTCAGACAGGCAGCTGCTGCATCAACCACGGTCCATCTTTTCTTCTAAATTCCTTGTTGCTGTTCCCCGGTGCTTTTGCGTTACACTTCTAATTGTCCACTTTACATCTCACGTAGGCAACCAGAATTATAGCCTCCATTGTCAGTAAATAAATGCAGACATGGTGAGTTGAGCTGAGAAATGTAAATTCGACACAGTTCCTCATTCGAGAAAGAAGCAGCGCCTCATTTCAAATCATCCGCTGAAAATGATGCCCATCTGAAAGACAAATTGAGACTCGTCGCGGCTGCCAAACGCCGTTTTACAAGTGAACAAAAGTGACTTTGTGCTGTGCGCCAGAAAACTCAATTCAATCCCCTGCACAAGTTTTCATTAAGCAGCAGATGTTTGTTGATTTGAATATTTTATCAACTTTCTCTGTTTTGAAATGGTCTGCGTTATATTGAAAATGACCCTTTTTTGTAAAACACAGTTTTTAAATATAATGAAATGTATCGGATTCAAAAAGTTGTCGGATACTCCAAAATGAAAAAAAAGCATATTCTGTTTGTCCTGATTAGTTTTTGGGATTAGTTATAGATCAGGATTCAAGAAGCAAAAAGCATCAACAGTGGCTCTGGGGCAGCTGTCCCAATGCATATATGTTTAATGAAGCTCATCAGAATTTAGATTTCATTACTTAAACATGAAGTTAAACCTCATGAACACTCCCCCTGATTACTCGGATAATGTTTAAACATGCTACAAAGC